AGAGGGACAGTCTGTCTGCCAGACCATTTGGATGTTCCGTAGGTCGCGTATATGTATTTTACAAGGTAGAATGCAGTCCATCTCCATTGTAAGTGTCTCCTCTACCAGACTGAAATGATGCAGACAAATTCCATTTTAAATCCAAATCACAAACAATCAAAGATGGAAGGAGAGAGAGATGGAAAATGGTGGGAAAAGGCGATTTATTATACCCGACTATAAGGTTATCCAAATGGTCTGGCAGACAGACTGTCCCTCTGCTTCTGTGGAATTATCTCAGTGTTTTCAAACGCTGCGTCTCTGTAAGGATGTCTGAGAGTTTGTGTTGAGGTGAGGGTTGAAGAACAAATGAGAATCCCCTCCAAGCCTAATGTATTATAATTAAAAAAACAAAACACAAACTGCATCCTTTAAATGACACGGATAGAAACTACAAAAATAGCAAAAGCTTTACACAGTCCTGCGTGCCACAGGCTATTTGTATTTTTTTTGCTAATTTGAAGGTAACTTTGTGTTCACATGACACAAACATAGACTGAAACTCCCCATGTCGCAGAAACAGTAAAAATGGAGCTTGTTTTTCAGCTTGCACTGATTGACAGCCTGATTGTGTATTGTGTATGGCCTGAGCCATACACAATTGATTGTGTATATCAAAAATAAAAACAATGCAGCGTTTTCATACTGTTTAATCACACTCTGATGTATACGCACAGAGGCACACAAACATGCACGCTCTCACGTGCACAAGGGATTTGCTTCAGTGAGTTTGCTTCATTTTCTCAGCTTCACATCCGTAGGCATCCCATGGGTGAATATATCTACCATGAACAGGTTTCCATTTTCACCTTTTTCTTTTGTGTCCTGCTTTTTACCCCCCCCACACACACACACACACACACCTTCATGTAGGTCTGTACATGTAAGTGAAGGGAAATCACAAATAAACATAGCTGTTATTTCAGTTGGAATACTTATTAAATCTGGACTAATTGACAGTTGTTGTAAACATATATTTTTACAACAAAATAGTAATTTATGCAGGTTTTTTTTTTCAAGATGAACAAAATAATTAAACTATAAAAGTTCTGGTTTTTACAATCACTCAAATGCAGCAGGTATGATTCTTTATAAAACCCTTTCTAAACTTATAATTGAATACTTCTCCATAAACGAGACAAATGAAGATTTGATTGTTTAGAACTGTCAACATGTGTCTCTTTTCATGCGTGTGATGGATAAAATCCAATCTACTCCTAGCTGGTGTCTTTGCATGATCACTGAAACATAGCGTGAGTTTTTTTCACGACAAACCAGTTGAGGTGACAACTTCATTTTAGTATTGCCATTAAAAGCTGATGAAGGGAACAAGCACTCCTTTTGCATTTCCTTTAGCATTGACCTTTTGATACATGATAGCAGTTCTATGCCACTGTAGCTGTACCACTGTTGTACTTTCTACAAGAGCACAACTCCATCTTAAGCGTGGCGTTCTCCTTTCTCTTCTCTTAATCTAATTCCTTTCCTGATAATTGTTCCTTTTACTCAATTCTCTGTTTCCCATTCTCTTCACTTGCCCCAGGGTGGAAGCCATGCATCGCCGACACACCACGCTGAGGGAGAAGGGGCGTCGCCAGGCGGTGCGAGGTCCTGCTTATATGTTTAATGAGCGTGGCTCCCCACTCACTGCGGAGGAGGAACGTTTCCTGGATGCTGCAGAGTATGGGAACATTCCTGTGGTGCGCAAAATGTTGGAGGAGTCTAAAACTCTAAATTACAATTGTGTGGACTACATGGGCCAGAATGCTTTGCAACTGGCGGTGGGTAATGAGCATTTAGAGGTGACTGAGCTGCTGCTTAAGAAGGATGGTTTGGCCAGGATTGGGGATGGCCTTCTTCTGGCTATCTCTAAAGGTTACGTTCGAATCGTCGAAGCCATTCTCGCCCATCCCGCCTTTGGTGGAGGTCTCCGGCTGGCTTTGAGCCCCTTGGAGCAGGAGATGCGGGATGATGTCTTTTACGCATATGATGAAGACGGGACACGTTTCTCACATGACATCACTCCCATCATCCTGGCAGCCCACTGCCAGGAGTATGAGATCGTCCACATCCTCCTGACAAACGGGGCTCGCATCGAGAGGCCTCATGACTACTTCTGTAAGTGTTCAGAATGTGTGGAGAAACAGAAGAAAGACTCGTTCAGTCACTCTCGCTCCAGGATGAATGCATATAAGGGCCTGGCCAGTGCAGCTTACCTGTCGCTCAGCAGTGAGGACCCCGTGCTCACTGCCCTCGAGCTGAGCAACGAACTGGCAAGACTGGCCAACATCGAGACAGAGTTTAAGGTAATTTAATTTGCATCTTTCTTTGTGCTCCACTTGTTTACAGGATTCTCCTTAAGAAAAATAAACACCTTTTTTTTATTATTATAGATTGTAGAAGAACATAAAAAAACAATTTGAAAAACCTTAATCCAGTACTTTCAGAACACAAAAGGATTTGCATTATTTTCATTGTGTACAGTGCTATTTAATAATATACTGTCACTAATTTTTTGATGACCACAAAAGAGGTCATTAAAATTACTCAAAGTGAAAACACTGTTTATATTAGTCTTTTTTTAGAGTGGCTATTGCCGATAACAATATTGGGAAGGGGAGGCCAATGTTCATAACTGATATACTGTACAGGCTGAACATTTTTGAGCTTTAATTTAAGTAAACGGCTACTTTTGAACCTGTTCAAACACTTGAAGTCTTGAAACAGTCTTCCTAACGTGCATTCACATTTTCTGTCCTCCACTATTCACTATAACATTATCAAGTGTGTTACATAAATATAACTTAAACAAGAAACACACTTCTCTGTTCATTGTCTAAACAGTCAGTCACATATGGTGAAGGCCTAATTAGTATTGACCGTAGCGTGTGTGTTTTTTTTCTTTGCAGAGAAGTAAATATTTCAGATAAATAATGCATTTCATTGAGGACGACAAATATAACATTACTAACTAAATATATTTTGCCTCCACCTTAGATTTATTGTTCTGGATAAAGTTTTATAAGACAATAGCATATGCTAGGTTATCTAAACGTTAGCTTGGTCACTTGAGAGGCACATAGCTAATGACAAATGGGTTGGAGGATTGAAGATAATTTATTATTGATTTTTTTTTTTCCATTTTACAAATCATTTAAAATAAACTTACCATGCTCTGTTCAGCAAAATATGCTACATAGTATTTAGTTGCTCCCTGCTTTGACTGTGCTTAAAGTGAAAGTGAAATTTAAAGTGCATGGCTATTGAAAGTATCCTACATGCACCCTCTGCTGGATACATGGTACAATTATGCCTTTTGCAAGTAAGGACACATCTTGTTCACAGTGTTTATATTGATGCACAATGGGACTATTATCATTGATACCAATATTTCCCCAAATGCCTAGATTGGCCTAAAATATCAGTCCAATGTATCGATCAGGCTCTACTTTTTTTTTTTTTTACTAACTCCTAAACGTAAATTATTCTGTGAAGCTTTTTCACACTTTATGTTTTGTAGTAACATTTCTCATGTACTTTTTATTATTTAGTGAGCATTGATTTAATAAAACGTAATGTTTCATGTGCATTATGCACTTAGTATTACTTGAAGTTGCACAAACTTTTTGCATTGCTGCCATTTTTTTCACTCAGTAACACCGAATCACTCCAATGAAGCAGTAAGACCAAGCTAGCACTTCCTATGTATGTACAATGCAACAATTTGAACATGTTGGGGAAACGGATGACGAAACAATAGAACATTTATTTAAATTGGTCTTTTTTTATTACCTTTACAAGACTGCAAACATTCACTCATTGGTTATTGTGTGCCATGTTAATGACAAAGAAAACATTAGCTAAATGTCAATGAGAAAAGGTTCCAAATATGGTGTATTGGATAGTTTGGAGAAAAGTCCTCTAAAAACAACAAAAAATAATACTATTTTTGTTTTCCTTTTTCTTAATTGTTACAGCCTTCGTTTAATTTTAATTTACTAATTAATAGCATACCAAACTAACATACACTGTACATTTTAGGAATAGCTTTGCTGAGTTTTATGCATATTGTTTTACCATTGAAAAAACTGTGAGCAAGTGTAAAGGAAGGTCAGAGGTTTCGATAAGTGAAATGAAATCTGTTGATTTGTAGGTATCCATCTAACCAAGTAGCTGAGGCCATTTCTGGTCTCAGATTTATCATCTGCTGCAGTAGTTTCAATCAATTTATGAAGTTTTTTTATTTTTTATTCAGAGTTTTAGTAGGAGAATAAAATAACACCGAGAGAAATAATATTTTAGATCCCTCCCTCTCTGTGCTTCAACTCATTCCTGCCAATGACTGAACTTAATCACTAGGCTCTCATCTTTAATGGATTTCCCTGTGCACCCCTAACTTTTTATTACTCGGTAGAACTACTTCCAATCAGAACTCAGTCCAATCTCCTAGAATAAAAATCAAAAAGTGCACTTTATTGTCTGATGAAATAGTAAACATTCAAGATTGGGGGTGGGGGTGGGGGGCTTTCTGGGTGGAGTTTGCATGTTGTCTTCATCAGAGTCAGAGTCAGATTTTCTTTATTGTCTTTCGCACCTCATGTGGTACATGTGGTGGAGCGAAATTATGTACACGGGGTCCCAGTTACATCCGACAATAAAATGTATAAGAAAAACAGTAATAACATCTAAGATATGAACTAAGAAAAACATCAACTAAATATACACTAAGCACTCATAACATAAAACATTGAACATCAGCACAAACATGAACATGAGTCTGTGAGCAGATGTGCACGCATGAACACATCAACATTGAAACAGATCAGCAGCAACATGATGTGATTTTTCACAGTGATTATTCTAGTTAGAGATTCATGAGTCTAACAGCCTCAGGGTAGAAGCTGTTCCTTAGTCTAGTGGTTCTACACTTAATGCTCCTTAACCTCCTTCCTGAGGGGAGTGGGGCAAAAAGTGTGTGTGCTGGGTGGGTGGGGTCCTTCATGATGCAGGTGGCCCTCTTCCTGCATCTGGAGGTGTAGATGTCTGTGATGGTGGGGAGACTGATTCCAACAGATTTCTGTGCAGCCTTCACCACTCTCTGCAAAGCTTTTCTTTCATGCATGCGTGTGTTTCCTTCAGGTACTCCAGTTTCCTCCCACACAACAAAAACATGCATGTTAGGCTGATTTGTAACTCTAAAGTGAGTGTGAATGGTTGTTTGTCTCTATGTGTCCCTGTGATGGACTGAGACCTGTCCAGGGTGTCCCCCGCCTCTTGCACAGTGACTGCTGGATATGGGCACCAGTGACCCCCGTGTCCCGAAAAGGAAGAAGGGAGTAAAAGATAATGGATGAATGGATTTTGTGTTTGTTTGTGAGTGGGTGTGCAAGGCAATGTGTGTGTATTAGGAAGGATTGGCTCATGTACAGTATTTTAAACCTAAAATGATTTTAAACTAACTTCTGAAAAGTCTAGATCAAGATAAAAAAAAAAAAGGTAAAATAAAATCTTTAACTTTTTGTGCTTTTGTCTCCCATGAATGAGATTGATTTTTCTGAGCTGGGAACTATTCATGTAAACCGCATTATGTAGTGACTTGGGATGCATTAAACCAGAACTTTTTTTTTCAGTCAATCTTTATTTAAACAAGTTAGTCCCACTGACCCACAAGGACTCATTTACAAGAGAGACCTGAATTTTAACAAAGAGTGATGACAACATTTGACAACAATGACAACAATAGACATTCACAAATGATGCATACAAATTTTTATTTTTTTTATTCCATCTTACTGGACATATGATATTCCCTGAGCAAACCAGACAGTGAGACCTGCTGAGAAATCTATCCGTGAATAAAACTTGATAAAATGCCTGTTAAAATGTTCCCATTTAATGATTAGATATAGACATTTTTATGATCGCAGTTGTTTTTATACCACTCTGTGGTGGCAATGTAAGAATTGTCAGTTTCACCTGGTTTCACCTGCCACATATTAACAGCAATGTTCCAAAGTACATATAAACGTTTAGATCCAAACTATATTCAAGACTGAGACAAATAAAGTAATTAGATTACATATGAACCCTTTGATCCCACCACAACATTGTTGTTTTACTGGTTTGATCTCTGTACCTATTGGTTGCCTTTGTTCACCAGTGTGTTGCTTTTTCCTCTACCGCTCTTATTAATTTATGTCGGAGCTCACTCGTCTGTCCTCGCCGCTTACTGCCCACCTTTGTGTTTGATATGCAGCCTTTCTGCTTGTCATTCTGTTTCCCGTCTTCCAACAAATTAATGAGAAGGGCTCACCTGAGGGACCAAGGTTGTGTTAGAACTTATCTGTCTCATTACCATCTCATTACCATCCACATGTCCGCTCTCTTTATTTATCTCCTTGTCTGTCTTCATATTATCTACTCATTACTTTAAAGCATCAAATAGTGTTTACTCAGTGTGCAAGCAGCATTAGTCAATCAGGGATACATAGGGAAACAAACAACCAATCAAAGTTTCTGAATGTTAAAATTAAAAACCATATTGAGCACTCCGTTGTGGGGCTTCATTGGCAACAAAGAACCTTAGTAAGATATGAAATCTTTAGCTCAGTAATAACTCATGCCAAATGAGGTTTATTGATAACCCAGTTAGTTTGTGAAATTATGAGTTGTGGGCACAGGTGGCTATTGGCAACTTACAAATAGAATGAAGTATGAATGTACAAAAGAGACCAGTTTAATTTCAAAGTAAAAGAGGATTTAGATTGTTTTAAGTCTAGATTTTTTTAAAAACAATACAATTAATGTACTGTAATAATCTGCAACTTCACAATTTACAACGTTTTATGTAACTCCAAGCAAGACTGTAAAAGTTCATTTGATATAGCCTTCTGGATGGAAGTTGAAATGTTCCAGCAAAAAAATAGAAACTACAGATGACCTGACTGAAAATTGTTGGATTGTATACCTGGATTATTGAGCATGGACTATTTTGGTTTTGAACCGATTTGACATGACTGTCGATGAGGAAGAGGGCCGGCTTCAGAGGAGGGGGCGTGCCAAAGACACCATTTTAGCACCAGCATAACTGGTTTGTTCCACTTTGGAGTAAGCTGTTTGGAGGAAGAATCAGTTTTGTGTTGCGTGTTTCCTTGACTGATGAAGCCTTCCGGATGGAAGGTGAAACGTTTCAGCAAAAAAAAAGAAACCGTCCAGATGACCTGACTGAAAATTGTTGGATTATATACCTGGTTTATTGAGCATGGACTATTTTCATTTGATATAATTTGCATAGGGAGAAGATAGA